TAGAACTGGCTCGACCGGGAATAGTCTTTTCAAATTCTCAAAAGCAGTTTGACAGCTCATAGTCCATGTAAGCGACTGGCCCAGTCATGGCTTTCTCCCATCTTTGCCTGTTTTCAACAAGTCCGTGAGGGGTAAAGCAATTTCGGCAAAAGAGGGGATAAATTGTAGGTAAAAGTTGGTGAACCCCAGAAAACTCTGAAGCTGTTTGCGAGTCTTTGGGGGTTGACATTCAATTATGGCTTTCACTTTAGCAGGGTCCATTTCAATGCCCTCACTGGAAGTACCAATCGGTACTACATAGTTGAACCCAAAAACTAAATTCCCTTCCCCCGGATACAAAGTAACAAAGTACAATTCCCACCCCCAATAAACTGTCATAAGTCACATTCCCCTGGGCTTTCTCCCCAGCTCCTCAGCCTGCCAAAACGTTATCAGCTTGTCCTTGGGTTCCCACAGCAGTGTTATTGTTATGGCTAGCTGAGCTTTCATTCCAACCCCCCCCCCCCCGTTGCACCTGATTTCTAAAAACAAGAAAAAGCATAGTAAAGGAGAAGAGAAAATGGCTGCATTTTCATCAGTTGTCAAAGTGGGAACATCCAATGTTAGCAGCGATGACATCTCTCTTCTTTTCTTTCCTTCTTGTACAAATTATAATTCTTTTGTTTGATTTTTGGCAGTCAGCGGTGGGGGGGAGCTTCAAACATTGGCATATAGGGAAAGCAGATAATGTCTCCAAATATAAGATTTGATTTAGGAGTAGATATTCTACATTTTTTTCTGAAGAAAAAACAAAGCTCTCAGGTTCCCTCAGATATTCTTCCTGGATTGATGTTTCTCAATCAGGAGATTGTGCACAATGTAAAAAGGATGTGTAAAGATTAATGGAGTAAAGAAAACATGAATACCTACAGGCTATTTTCTTTTAGTGGTGATCAATTGCTTAGCCTTACTCAATTCCTCTAAAATTTGAATTCCCCAACTCTATTTTCAATAGGTTTCTTGTTTTTAAAAAGCAACAATATTTCATCATCTGCAGCAAATCATGCCCACAAAGCATCCAAAGAAGAAAAGAAAGAAGGCAGGAAACTGAATAATGCCTAAGTGTCTGGGATGAGGAGAAGGACAGGAGCTTCACTGTGTACATGACAAGAATTGTGGCTGCTCACAGGCCCCAATTATATGATAGTGGGAGACCACTTTATTCACCTGAATAGATGAGTAGAAGAAAATAGCTTTGGATCAACAGACTGCTGATTTTTCACATCACTAAAAGCTATTTTTCTACCAACTTTCTTAAGTAAAGGAAGCTGGTAATTTCATTCTATCCTGACAGAATACAGAAGTCTAGTTCTGCTGACTATACTCACCTGCTTTAATTCGAGGAAGAACTTGCTTCCTTCAGATGGAGTGTATTGATCTTGCTGTCATCTTGACTATTAATAATGCCATTTCCCTCTCCTTCAGACATTCTGATCTATAGTCCTAAAAATCATGTCAGAATGGTCATTGCCAATTCAGTTAGAACTCCATGAATCTTTTTCCCCCTAAACAATTCTCCTATTAATTAAAAGATATATATTTGCTATATATATATATATATATATATATATATATATATATATATATATATATATATATATATATATATATATATATATATATATATATATATATATTGGTTTTTAAAAGATACATGTTTGCTATTGGTTTTTAATGTCTGTTGCTGAATTATTATTATTATTTTTTGCTATGCTTGACAGTTCTGATTTCGTTAAGAACTGATTTATCAATTCTGATGGTAATTCTAGTTTGGAAGAATGCTCAGATAATCTAAAACAGTGTCCATCATAAAGAGGCTGGGCTATTCAAAAAAGTATCCTCTCCCTGTTTTCCTGGCTCTGTTTCTCCAGGTGTCTGAACTAAATGGGATTATATTTCCAGTGTGAGCCCTGCTTTAGATAGAGACCTCTGCTTTAGACTAGGGATGCTGTGGGCTCAAACTAGGATTAAGAAGCTGGAGAGAAGGGTTGTTTTGTATTCCATAAAGGAATCTGCTACTTCCAGTGCAATGGAAGCCACTGGTCCATCACAAGTGCTGAAATAATATCCTGGAAGTGCTCCACGACAAAGCCTGTCAGATTTGCCATCTTCAGCTTAGCGCTTTGCTGGCATCCTGTCATAAATTGTTAGCGGAAAGGGGGAGAGGAAGTAAGCAATTGGCAGGTAGAGGGTAGAGATGAGCAAAGATGTGTGTGTGTGTGTGTGTGTGTGTGTGTGTGTGTGTGTGTGTGTGAGAGAGAGAGAGAGAGAGAGAGAGAGAGAGAGAGAGAGAGAGAGAGAGAGAGAGAGAGAGAGAGAGAGAGAGAGAGAGACAGGTTTGATGGAAGCCAGAGATGTGAGAACCAGCCTGTTCCAGTCTTCAAGGCTGCAGAGCTGGGAAAGGACTGTGAAATGCATCCGTGGCACCCAAACATCCAAGCTGTTCCCAAAATATCTATGCAGCACACCATTGGACGAAGACAGACCAGTCAGGGGTGAAGGGGAAATTGTATACTGTTCTGCTGAGGAACTTCAGTACTGATCTTGCTTTTGCTGCAATCACTAATCCTTAGTAAAAGAATTTATCATTTCAAGCAAAATGAAGGGACCTAGATAGGGCAGGTCTGACAAAGCCATTGGCATTTGGCCAGAGTTAACCTTCTCATTGTAATAACACTATTAAAGAAAAATCATATTAGATGGAATAGTTCTATATACATTTCCTGTTATAGTTAAGTCCTTGTTGCTCTCTGAGTTTGGCTGCTTCCTTGCAGATGTTTCATTAGTTAAGACCTTTTGGGATACTTCTTTAGCTTTTTTTGCCTACAGCCTTTGAGCTTCTCCTATATGTCTGTTTTCTTCCTGCAATCAACTTGCAGTTTCCTCCAGTCTTAAATCATCTTACTTTATGGTTTGCCATTTATTAGACTGGTACGCAAAATGTTTGTGACTTGCTGCAGTCGCTGAATCCCTCAAATAAACTATGTAGCTTTACAATCCTGGCATTTAAGCTGCACACCTCTTTATTGCCATCCAGCTCCTGGCAAGCTTGATCAACTTTTAATTGAAGTATTTAACCTCTTCTTTTAGTTTTTAGTAATTTCCAGGTTTTTTTTTTAACCTCTTCTTTTAGTTTTTAGTAATTTTCAGGTTTTTTAAATTTTCTTTGTAAAATACATTTATTAAGTTTCCTTTATTGCATCTTTGAAAAGCAAACAGCTAACGGAGACAAGAGTTGTTATGCACATAGAAGTTATTTCCATAAAATAGAATCTCTCCCTTTCAGAACATATTTTGCATGAGCTGCAGTGTAGAAAAATCTGATTGTGGTCCATAGTGCAGCTTCATTCTACTGTAGGGACAAGCCTGTTGCTCCATGTAATGTGTGTAGATAATAAAAAGAAATAAAAACATCCAGCAGAATTCTATTTGGGAAAAATGACCAGCACACCATCAACCAAACATGGATTTATTCAACAGGAAAGCAGACCCTCTAAAGGGGTCAGGTAAAGGAACTTGCACAGAATCAATCTAAGGCAGCTGACACAAGAACTGTTCAGAATATAAATACTATTCCTGCTTTATTTATCAAACCTAATTTTCAACTTGTTGGCATGATATAAATTCAAATGAAAACATAAAACGTGATAAAGAATGGAAACTTTGTGTAATGTCCAATGTTATCAAATGTTAGGAATGGTCATTCAAGAACATCTAGAAGCCCTAGGTTTCCTAAAATACTCTATGATATATTCATAATTCTGAAATAGTTGTTCTTCCAGTCACAACAACTATTTTATATGTGTGCAGGGCTGATCAAGAGGGCCTTGTACACATCTTGCTGTAGTTAATTCCACTAAGGAACTGCAGAGTGATTGGACCTCTCCCAAGTCATTTAAATGGTTTCTTAGCACATGTAACTTTCTTATGGGTGAGTATGTCCATGCCATGTGTCTTGGAGAACATCTGAAAAAGAGGGGAGAAATATTTGGAAGAAACGGAGAATGGTTGGACATTCTCATGCGAAGGATGCTATTGGTTCTTCACTTATATGTGCTTCATGCAAGTCAGCAGAACTCAGCCTCACCATGTGAGCAGAACTGCTTAGGGAGTGGAGGGAAGAAGATTAAGAGAATTCCCAAGGCCTAAGAGAGACATACATATAATGAATATATCTGGTAGTAGCGTAGTCCGTTAGAAAGCCTATGAGCCCTCCCATGGAGAGCAAAAAGAACAGAACAGCAGCTGGTTCTTCCCCAGTTTCCTGATTGCTGGAGAGTAGGGATTCAGGATGCATGAACTGATCAATCCATTGGCCTATCCTAACTCAAATCTAAACTAAACCTCATAAATATTGCATTTGATACCCTCTACATAGTTTGCTCTGTAATTCTGGAGGTTGAAACCTGGTTTAAAGTTTCTCTTTAAGAAATACATTGCGGATGTTAGCATAGCCCAGAAAACTAAGCACAGTTGGGTCTGGGAAGTTTTAAAAAGATCCCTCCAAAATAGTAACAGGAAACCATTGACTTACTGTTGTCAAGAAAACCACCCAACTAGAATGACTTTTCATTTTGTCTGCTCATTAAAAGTGAAATCAAAGCATTTTTTTTGCAGGACAGAGGTGTTCACCCATGGAAATTAACAGCTATATGGGGCTATATGGGGCCTGCAGAGCAGAGTACATATATTCCTGTTCAATTGTGGGATATATCTTGTACAATTGGAAAGATTGAACACATCAAAACAGGAATGAACACAGCAAAACTGCAGTCTGTTACATGCTCAGCTTGGACGAAATTTCACTGATGTTAGTGAGATTCTAAGCAGATGTGAAAAGGGGTTACATTGTCAACTATTGAAATTAAGGTCAGTTCACTTACCCCAAAGACTAACAGAAGGCTAGCATAAAAAACTTGAAATTCTCTTGCAATCAGATCACCTACCAAGATCAGGCCAATAACACTGTTTTTGAATTGCTTTTGCTCTGTTCCTTTAAAAAGGTATCTTCTTCTTTTTTACTCTGAGTAATTGTGACATAACCGCAGAATAATAAAATAGCAAGCACAAATAAAAACTAACAAAGTGTTAGCTTGTACACTTAGAAGCCTTTAATGGGCAAATAGTTATTCATTTAAAAAATAATAATAAATAATGCAGAATTATCTCCTGTATATTAAAAAAATGTCTGTACATAATTACACAATGTAACAAAGTACCTATCCATTTTATTGAACAGTTCTCATCTTTGGGTTAAATTATCAGTCAAGGACAGGACAAATAAGAACAATGCAATGATGCAGACCCAATTTCCAAAAGGTGCTTCAGTGTTTGCAACTGTGCAAGTACAGCACCTTTTGGGAATCAGTTCTGAAAGGTTGCACAGCCCTACTACAAATTTATACTTGATCTATTTCTTTCCAAGAACATAAAAATCAACCTTCCAGCATCCCTTGGGTCTTCAAACATGCCTGTCAATATAACATGAAAAAAGGGAAATTTTAATATAGAGAGTAACATTGGCATGCAGGACGTAGCAGAAAGAACTGTTGACAAGTGACATTCTTCTTTCATCCTTTGAAACAGACAGTCATGTTGAGAAATAGTTCTGCAAAGTGCAAGAAGAGTAAAACAACAAGTAAAGGGACGAGGCATCTGAAAGCTTAGATTCCCAGCAACCAGGTCTCAATGTCTCTGTATCTAATGTCCTCCTGCATGTCAAGCAAAGGAGCTGTAGGTTGAGCTGTTAATCCCGAGGGGCAACTCTGCAGTTTTACTGTTCCAGGCAGATGCTGTGGGACCACATCAAGTGTCTCAAGATGCCAGTGTGCTTCTACTTAGCTCTATAAAGTCCCTGCTGCTTATCTTCAACCTTTTCCAATTTCAGAGCTCACATAACATACTGACACAGGAAACACAGTTTACCAACCTTAATGGCTGGGTTTGACACCCTAAATCACAGGTCCACAAGTCACATCACTATGTAGAATGTTGTGGAGTTCAGTCAATTAATCTCTTACTGAGAACCTGCAGACTAAACTTTTCCTTGCTATCCTTCCCTTCATTAGTCACTGTTCCTACTGCCATTAGTATTTCAGCAAGTTGCTGAAGCTTATGTCATTTGTTCCTGGAAATGGATTTATCTTATGACCCTGATTCTTTGGGATACTTATCATAGTAAATCCTGACCAACTCAGACACTTGAGTTGCTTTTATGTTTATTGTTCACCATCCCAGAATGAATGTCCCAATTTGTGACAAATTGGGATGAAAAATAAATGACCTAAGGAAAACATCATTTTTCTAATACATTATCTAACTACAGAGGTGATTTGAATGTGCCAAAGTAAGCATGCCACAAAATGCCAATTATTTGGCTGTTACAGGTGAGCTAAATGTTTCCTCAATTGTTCAAGACCCCAAGCAACTTTTCCTTCAAATCAGTAAAATCAGGGGATGAAAATTCTAATGAGAATGTCAGAAGATTAAAGCTAATGGGCTCTGACTGATGGGAAAATGACTCTTCTCAACTGACTACTTTTCTTACAGTAGATCATTTTGCTGGGGGTTGCAGGACATTGTATCGCATTAATTTCACCTTCAAGAATATTTATGTTCTTTGGCATCTACAGATAGCCTAGAAAAAACAATACACAGCAATGCTTCCTTTTTGTGGTTGCATCACCGGCAAAGCTCATTATTAAAAATAATTGAGAAACAACCTCTCAGTTTTTGGTAAAGCAGAAATATAATTGCATTTTAGCAATTTCAGGTCAAACTTCAATGTCTGGGAAAAGACGTATATTGCTAGTACATAAGAAAAAGATGTGTGTATGGCACATCACTTAGAACAAACACAAAGACAATCAAGCAGGTTGCTTATCATTTGTTCATCACATGCAAAGCTTTATGACTTCCAAGCATCAACCAGAAGCAACAGTAACTTTGTACCACTCCATCTCACTCTATGTTATTGTGAAGCACAATTGAGCTGTTGGGGCCAATGTCAAGCCAATACATGACAGCATTTATGGCAATGCAGACAATATCAATATCTGGCATTTAAGTTCCTGATGCATGAACCTCTTGTGTCTTTCAGCACAGACCACTTGTTAGAAGCAGGACTCTTGGGATTCCAGATCATTATGGATTGGAAGCTTGTCAGGTTCCAGGTGATGACCGTTGTGCAAGACTGTGTACCTATAAAAAAGGGGGGGAGGAAATGACATTAGAAACCAATGAAAGAAATGGCCCGAGAGTCCCTCTGTGAAGTTCTAGGCTGCATTTTCTTCATGAAGATCCTCTATGCTTCACTTTACAAGAATCTGAAAATCCAAATTTAAAATTAAATAGGTGGCTGCTCTTCTCAAGAGCCACTATCATTCAGTCCTTGGAGTACGTTTTTAATGAGATTATGAGCTGAAATATCAAGAATATTTTTTTAAAAAAACAAACAAACACAGAGATACTGTTGTCTAATTTCCTTCTTTACTAATGTTACCAAATATACATCTTGGGATTTCTTTGACAAAACCTTGTAGCACTAGTCAATGTTCCCTTCTGCTCCTCCCCCCCAAAACAAAGTAGCTTGAATTTTCTCTCCTTTTTCTGAGAATTGCAGCTTATCACAAATATACATAGGAGGACCTAATAATAATCAGTGACGTTAGAATATCTATCCAAGGGGTTTTTTCCATACAGGCTATGGATGAAAATTCAAGAAAGCAAATATAAGATGAATTATGCACTGATTTTTTAGGTGTTTCTCACTGATATCTCAGATGCCGCCTTTTCTTTCAGCACTTCCCACAGCATATGAAAATATCAAGGTCCACAGTATTGTCCATGGTATATCAAGAAGGTAACCCTTTCTTCTCCAGAAATATTTTGTGACAACTACTTATGAATGCAATAGTTGACAAATCAAAAGGCTTGATTTGATTTGTAAGTGATCCTAATTTTTCTTCTTCTACTATTCAGAGAAGTTATGGGTGGGAAAGGGCATGGGGTGGTTAACATTAAAAAATGGAATTCTTCAATTTGGAGGAGTATATAAGGGCATTCTAGGACTCTGAGAAAGCAGGACAGAACTTCAAAAATGGCAGATGAAGACCAGATGGCCACCTATATTTTCAGTTTTACCTCTTAGATAGATCAGTCCATCTATTAGGAAGATTGTGAGAAAGAAGATCAAACAGCTCACAGAAACCCTCTGTCTTACGTATTCAATGATAAATAAAGATGTGGGTAGAATTTAATTTCCAAGATTATCTAACCTAATCTTTTTTCCATGGCACTACACTTGATTAATGATATCAGGCATGAACTTAGTTTGCTTGGCCATATGTACAATGCTGGAAACAATGTGCTTTCAGGCCTCCAAAGTCTACATATCTTCAGGTCCAAATGAAAATTATTATATAGCAATAATGTTTGGTAGAGAAAAAGGTGATTGACACTTGATTGACATGATCCCAGAAGATCATGATATTTGATTTAAGGAGATCCTGATTGGTACGATGTGAGTATGCTTGGAAATCCTCTTTCTCTTGTCTAGCTCAGATCCATACACAGTTCTAGTTTTAAGAAATCCATTCTCTCCTAATATTAGTAGTACTAGAACAGAATTGCAAGTGCAGTACAATGAATAATGAATCAAGATCACGCAAAGTGTTAATACCACTTTATAATTCCTTAGTAAGACCATACTTGGAATATTGCATACAGTTTTAGTCACCACGATATAAAAAAAGATGTTGAGACTCTAGAAAGAGTGCAGAGAAGATCAACAAAGATTATTAGGGGACTAGAGGCTAAAATTTGCGAAGAATGGTTGCAGAAATTGGGTTTATCTAGTTTAATGAAAAGAAGAACTGGGAGTAACATGATCAGCATTAGAAGGCCAGGTAGTTTGTAGTGGCATTGTGCTAATACAATCCTAACACTGGGAAACAAAAATTAAAAGATTTTCTTTTCCATTTTGGCAAAAACAAGCAAAGACTTCCAGAAACAGCTTAACTATACCAAGCTGCATAAATTATTAACCTGTAAACAGACAGAGTAAACAAAGTAGATATAACACAGGACTCAAACTGAGCCCAAGCAGCACTGAAAAAATCTCGGAGGTGTTTGCCTATATTTTCTCCAGCAAATTTATCTGACTGGTTCTAGTTTTGCCAAACCTAATCAGGAAGAAAAAAAAGGGCTTTTAATTTGATGCTTACAGGACTTTCCTGCCCACCTGAGAAATAGCTAATCGCCTGAAACCCTCCCCTTGCCATTCATGAATTAGTGATAGGAAGCTAGCATTCCATCTCTCTGCCCTAACATAAATATATACATGCACACATATAAAAGCACCACAGAATAACAATTTCATAAAATGCAAATGGTTATTAATCAGAGAAATACACACGTTTCAAAAGAAATATAAATTGAGCATTCTCCCAGGTACACTTAAATCTCAGGTGAAGCATACATACTTATGCTCCCAAACCAATGGTGACACCCAGCCTAAGCAGATATTCTTTACAGTTTCTCAACCTGGGTTCCTTGAAGATGGATGGACTTCAATTCCCAGAATTCTCCAGCCAGAGAATTCTTGGAGTTGAAGTTCACACATCTTCAAGCAGCCCAGGTTGAGAAACATTGCTATACAGCAGGGGTCTTCAAATTTGGCTCTTTTATGACTTGTGGACTTCAACTCCCAGAATTCCTCAGCCAGCAAGACCCCTGCTATACAGTATATAGACAGATAAACTCTTTTACTTCAGTTTATCTCATCCAATGCAAATTAGTTTTTTTTTCTGAGAGTTATGCATTCTTTAAAAGCAAAATAGATATAAATTGCCTTTGAATCCACTTAATTCCTTGTGACTTCATGGACATGTGGTTCAGCTTCTACTGGGAGCTCCAGGATTACTTGATGCTTTCCTATTTAAGTACTAAGTGCACCTGATTTTCCTTTTCTGAAATTAGTCAAGATCAGTTAGAAGCTGCCACCTGCTGAGCCTGTAGCTTCTTCTAATTCTTACTTCAAATTATGTCTCTGCAGTCTCCATGAGCCTCCCTGTTAAAATGTCTTTAATATATGGTGAAAAAACCAACAACCAAGTTAGAAAAGTAGTAAACAAGAATAAGCCACTTGAAAGTAAAAAGCAAATGTGATAAAATCTTTATTTTCCTTATTTAGTCACAGGGCACTTCCAGCAAGCAGCATGTATTAGAAGGTCTTACGATGCAGTAATCTATAAAGCTAAGTGTCAACTGTCTCCCCAGGAATTTCCTCTAAGAAGAAACATACAGTATTAGACTAAAATGTTGCCTCAATGCCAGAATGCTACTAACATCAAGATGTTCACAGCCACCGTTCTGCAGCCAAAATTAGATAAAATTTTCACAGTGCCTTCTGGCTTCCACTGTCAATTTAACCATTTCTAGCAAATCAGAATGCCGGCATCAACTGAAATTGGCTTCCAACCTTCTGATATTATTTATTGAGGACTGATCTTCACTCTCCTTCCTACATTATATCAGGAATATGTCATGGGTGGCAGCCATTCTGAAATGTTGCTTAAATGCAGCGGTGGCACCGCAATGTCATTTGTGCATCTGCTCACATTTTTCTACCCAGTTATGCTTTTATGTTGCCATGGCAATGGCGCCACAGCATTTTGAGGCACATATACACATTGCTTTACAATCAGTCTTCGCCCATTCCTATACAGTCGATTCTCGGAAGAGTGTTTTCACTAGACACAAAACAAATGATAGACCCAGGGTTTGTGGGGAAAGAAAGCTGCTAGCACTTCTTGTATTTTTGTGAGATAAATGGTTGTGCTGTCTGATTTTTCTTTTTTTCTCTCTCATTAGGCAGATTTTACTGCGCTTTCTGAAAAGTATAATACAAAGGTGAGCAAAAAAGATACTCATTAGCTCAGAAGTTTTCTTTTTACAGACACAGATTTAATAACAAAGGCCCATAAAACATTGTACTCATGCCCCAATCTGCCTACTGGAAATTAAGTTGGAGAAAGACATTTGTCTGTTCTCTACCTGCCTGAAGGCCCTTTGAAGTAAGTGAGGGCAGAGCCCAGAATTTCAGGCTTGCCCTTAGTTCATCTCCATCTCATTTTTTCAGCCCCACATCCTGTGGTGTGGTGTGGTGTGGTGTTGAAATTTCTGATACAGTTTGCAGCAGCTGTGATAATTCTACGAACTCCAGGTTGAAAAGTTCTCCTGGAGCTGGCCGGCCAATTTTTCCTACTTTTATTTTCATCTAGGAAAAAGGATTGTAAGGTCTGCCCCAGAACAATGATTCCCATGGCTGCTGGAAATTTCAGTGCTGTCCTATTATTTTTGAAGCCCAACTTCCTACTCATCCCAGCCTAGCTTTAGTCCCAATCCTAACACAGGTAGACCTATGACCACAAATTGAGCCCAAAATTTCTGTTGCTAAGTGAGACAGTTGTTAAGTGAATTTTGCCCTATTTTATGACCTTCCTTGTCACAGTTGTTAAGTGAATCACTTCAGTGGTTAAGTTAGCAACACGGTTATTAATGGCTTCCCCATTGACTTTGCTTGTCACAAGGTCGCAAAAGGGGATCGCATGACCCTGGGGCACTGCAACGGTCATAAATATGAGCCAGCTGTTAAGCATCTAAATTTTGCAGTATGGGGATACTGCAATGGCTGTAAATGTGAAAAAACATCATAAGTCATTTTTTTCAGTGCCGTTGTAACATCGAATGGTCACTAAATGGACTGTTGTAAGTCAAGGACTACCTGTACATCCCTCGCTCCCAAATGGACCTATAATACTGTTACTTTTATCCGCCCTGACTTTAATTAAGGTTGCCATAGATGACGGGGGTGTCATATATTTGGAGAAAGCCACGCTTTCTACAACAGGTTCATCATCCCTTGTAAAGCAGGAAGCCCCTGAGCTCAGCTCTGGATTCCTCTCACACTTTATTATGAATCCTAATTTCTCTTGTAGAAAAGGGGGCACCATTCGGGTTCTAGACATGCCTGTCTTTTCACTGTATAACTCAGTGCAACAACTAGGATGGAAATGCCACACAGATTTCCTTCTCTAATTTTGGTTAATAAATGAAAAGCAGCATCTGATGGATGCAGTTATTTCAAGCTAATCAATAAAAATATTACTAAACAAAAGGCAACTCAGTCCAACTCAGTA